GGCTCCTCTCTCCCCCATGGAAGGTGTTTAACCGGTTCTCCCAAATCTCCCGGAGATTACGGGACGGGGTCTCGGCAGCTGGGTGCAGCGGAGGGGGGGCCCGGCGGACTAACCGGGGCGCGGGGTCCGGCGGCGGCGGCTCCTCGGAGCAGTCCTTCCCCTGCTGCGCGTCTTCTCGGCTCCAGGCGCGATTCCTTCCCCCTCATGTAAACCGGCCGGGCGCCGGGAGGGTCGCCGCGGGGGACGCTGCTGCCGGCGATGTAAGGAGCGGGGAGGCTCCGCGGGAGAGAGCGACGGGAGAACGGAGAGCGGGGGAGGCCGCCTGCCACGACACCGGCTCCGGGAAGTCGGGAGGCGCTCCGGTAGCCGCGAGCCTGGCTGCGACGGGTCCTCCGCGCGAAACCTCCGCTGCTGCCGCCGCTGCCTTATTTTACCTCTTTTTGTTGTTTTGTCTTTCTCCTTTTTTCCTGTCTCCTTCCCCTCCCCCCCACCCCCCCAGCGGCCGCCGCTTCCTGCCTCGGTGCCGCAGCCGGTGCCTCCCTCCTCCTCCCCACCCGGCCGCTGCCGAGCCCCGTCTCCTCAGGACCAAGCTGCCGCACGAAATGACAACCAGCTGGAGGAGGCAGCGCGGCGCTTCCGGTTCGGCGGCGGGCGCGCCCCTGTCCCGCCCCCGAGCGCGCCCCGCCCCGCCTGCCGGCTGCTGCTCCGCGCCGCCATGTTTGGTAAGGGCAGGGAACACCCCGGCTGGGGCGGCCACCTTTGTGTTTGGCACGTAGCCCGCAGCTTGGCAGCCATCATAAGTATGGGCAAGAGGGCCTATGAGTACCGGCGGGGTGGCCATCTTGGTCTGAGGAGTGTAGTTCCCCCTGCGGGCCGCCATCTTTGTGGAGGGCAGGTCGTCCTCCTCAATGCAGGGCTGGTGGGGCAGGCTGGGGGCACCCCAAGCCAGTGTCCTTTGGCAGGCATTCGTTGCTATAATATCATCGGTAATACCTCAAAATCGTACCCCAAACACTGTAGGTTTATAACACCCTTTAGCACCGAAGGGCTGGAGCTCCTCTAGTGAACCTTACCCTGGGCCTGAGGGAGATGCATTAGAGCCGTTTTCCACATGGAGCGGAAAGTCAGCAAAATAATGTAACAAAATGTTTGGAAGGCAACTTCTGTGGAGAAAATACCACAGCACCTGACTTCTGTTTGGGTTTTAACTCTTGAAACATGGAACTGTGACACAGTGACAGACTGTCATATTGGAAATTGAAATGGGAGTTATTCACGGTTGGTTTCTGCTGCAGGGCCCACGCTGTGCTGGCCAGGTACTCCCCATCCGGCACGAGGGAAATTGATTCCTATTGCATGGGTTAAAGGGAGGTTTTCACTGATTTTCAGACATATTTGCCAATGAAGGGACAAGAGGTTTGAGCTGTGACAGCCAGCAAGTCTCATCTTTCAGGATGATGGATGAGGCCATTACAACATTTTAAGCACTATAAATAGAGGTGTTTATGGGGAGGGGGATTACAGAGATGCATTTGTGCAACTGTCTCAAACGTGGTACCTTGGGACAGGATTGCCTCAGCAAAAAATTAAGGTTTATAGCATGCTTTAGGAAGTTCTGGATTGAAAGGGAATGCGTATCACAGCATAAACTTTTCATTCGGCATGTATTTTATATAGCTCTGTTATTTATTAAACATTTAGTGATTATTACTTCATCACGCATAGCAAATCTGTATAAAAGTGATGGGCTTTGTTGTACCCAGCTGCCAGGCATATGAAGTGAAATTCCAGTTTTACTTCAGCTGCGGTTACCAGATGGGTAACACTACACATTACACATCTGATTTCTTTTCAGATATTCAGTTATGTATGTGGTCTATGGGCACAAGGGGCACAACCATAGGTCCAAACTGATGTTCACTGCAGAATTTATTCTCGCACATGAATGTGGCTTGTTCAGGGGCAAGCATCAAAATGTTTGTCTACTACAGTTCCATTTTGTAAAACAGTTCATTTCTGGGATGGGTGCCCTTTTGCACATCTACTAATTAAAATGTGCAAATAAAATTATAGTTCAAAAGTAAATAACAAACCCCTGTGAAATAGCTATATGTGGATACACTAGTAGAAAAATCAAGTGGAAAAGGAAACATGCAGACACATTTCCTGAATAATTTTTATTTAGTAGTGGGGTGTCCACTACTACTTCATCCAATACTACGCAGTCACCTGATGGCAAATTTGTTTGATACGGATTCTTTCAGCAAACCCAGCATTTCTTAACAATTTTATTAAATCAGTTTTCTTTGCAGTCATGTATACCTTGTTTCCATGTGTGAAAATGGACTTGTTTGCGTATGGAGAAAACATCTTTGTGAACATGTAATTACTGGGTTATAATTTCTCCCTTTATTTACTGTTCAACCTGTGTGAGCACAACTGATACTAAGTATTATTTTCCTCTGTAATTTTTCTAGTCATACTGTTATTATCATCATCATCATCATCAGGTCCAGGGTTAACAAGCACTTCTGTCAGGAAGCTATGAACCTGGCTCCAGCAATAGATTGCTATTACATGAATAGTTTGGGAAAGACTGAGTAGATGGCCTGAATTTAATTTCAGGCACACCCTTGCAGTGCATTAGGGTAGATGCAGGTCACCTAGAGTGATATGAACAGAACTTCCAAAATCTGACTTTAATCACTTTGCTTGACAAACATGGTTTGCTGAAACCATGGAGGTTTCTTAACCTAGCATTTTGATGATATCAACTGCGCAATAGAATTTGTGTCATCTTATTCAATCCCATTGAGGAAAAATGCCTGAACAATATGCAGGGATTGCAGTCATTACATTAGTTGCAAAAGGAGAATAAATCTCTGAAGAAAGTGAGTATAATCTATATTTAGCAGCCTGTGAGGAAGTTGCCACTTGGATGGCTGGATGATGTGAAGAGGGTCTCAAATAATGAAAAGCATTTAACACTGTCCCACACGACATCCTTGCCTCTAAAAGGGAGAGACATGGATTTGACAGATGGTCCGCTCAGTGGATAAGGAATTGGCTGAATGGTAGCTTTCAGAGTTGCAGTCAATAGCTCAATGTCTGTTGCACATCAGTGACTCTGATGTCAGTGGAGACCAGCGACAAGTGGAGCTCCTCGGGGTTGGTATTGAGACTCATGGTGTTCAACGTTCTTTGACAGCAACATGGACCATAGGATTGAGTGCACCCTCAGCTTGCAGCTCTGAAAGCCCACCATATGCTGGTTTGCATCAGGAGTGTGGCCAACAGGTTTAGAGGGGAGATTCTCCCCCTCTACCTCCACTCTCTTGTGACGCCACCTGGAATACTGTGTTCAGCTCTGGGGCCTCCAACATGTAAAGGACATGGACCTGTTGGAGTGAGTCCAGAGGAGGCCATAAGGGTGATCAGAGGGCTGGAGCAGCTCTCCTATGAAGACACGAGAGAGAGGCTTGGACTTGTTCAGCCTTGAAAAGAGAACGCTCCAGGGAGACCTTAGAGAAGCTTCCAGTGCCTCACAGGGGCCTACAAGAAACCTGGAGAGTGGCTTTTGACAAGGGCCTGTAGAGACAGGACACGGGAGAATGGCTTTAAACTGACAGAGGGGAGACCGAGATGAGCTTTTAGGCAGAAGTTCTTCCCTGTGGAGGTGCTGAGGTGCTGGCACAGGGTGCCCAGAGAAGCTGTGATTGCCCCATCCCCGGCAGTGTTCAAGGCCAGGTTGGACAGGGCTTGGAGCTCTAGTGGAAGGTGTCCCTGCCCGTGACAGGGATTTGGAACTAGATGATCTTTAAGGTCCCTTCTGACCTGAAACAATTCTGTGATTCTGTAATATATCTGAGCTCTATTTGGAAGTCCAACAGGATTTCTTTCATTTGCCATGTAAGTTTTGCAGAAAGTAATAATCAAATCAACTACATGATTAGTTTAAAAAATTGTCCAACATTTTAAAATTAGTTACTTCTCATAACAGTCAGATTTTGTTTACAGCCTTCTTTTATGGGAGAGCATCTTCCTTTCCCAGCTGTCTAACACTGCAAAAACAAGCTGGTTTCCATGGAGCAATGAAGATATTGTTGTTGCTTTTCATTACAGACACACTAAAATCAGGACAAACATTCCTAAAAACTTTCTTACTGCTCTAATTCAACAGATAGCTAACAGAATAAGGAAGATCTTTTAAATCATTCAAGCTACAAGCTCAAATCCTTATACAGTCAAATTAATGCTTTATCATGTAGTGAGTTGTACACTGATTTCCTTGTAGCTTATGCCGTGATCCAACTTTTGGATAAAACTTGAAACATTATATCCAAATAAATGAAAAAAAAACCCAAAACAAAACCAAAAAAAAACCCCCCCAAACAACCAGACCTTTGAGCATCAAAATAATGTGAATCTAGCTAATTTAGAAATTACATTCTAAATTTCCCTCTACCCCAAAATGAATATCCAATAATATTTTCGATGGGAAGGTTTTCTTAATAGCATTTGCTCGCAGTGGTGAGGTTCGGTGCTCAGATTTGCTGCCACATCCACCAAACAGGTACCTGCAGGTCAGTTGTGATGTATCAGACACCTTTCACCTGAAAGGGATTTGAGACTGAATTACACTTGAAGTACTTTTAGTCATCATGGTACCTTCCACTAATCACTATCAGCATCAAATTGATTAATTTCTGGAAGCACTTTAACTCTTCTGGTTACCTTACAGGAGAGGATTCCCCTAGCCATCCGACATCATTAGGCAGCTTGAGCTAATGACTGCACTGTGCACTGCACTGTGCACTAAGCAGGCTCCCCCCCCGCCCCAAATTATTCTTCAGGATCACAAACCCCGTGACAACCTCTTCACTCTGAGACTGAATCACAAGTGGAAACATATTGCTCTCTGAGGATTAGATTTCTTAGCCCACTTTTATTCCCTCAGACTCACCAAAATATGTCACCCAGTAAGTGCTTGACTTAAAAATTTGGGATGGCTGAACTGGTGTAGAAAAATCGGTTCGCTCACTTTTACTCAGACACAATCTTGAGATCTGTGGTTTGCTTGGGTCTGGTGTTGAGCCCATTCAGCCCTTCAGTGTTACACACCCCGTGAAACACAGAAGAAAATCTTCAAGGCAAAATGGAGCAGTTTTGTCCAATGGACCACAAAGCCTTGGTAAGGTCATATGACACATCAGATGTGAATTGTTAACAATAATTGCATAGATCTGGCTCACAGCTAAGCTAAACCTGAAGGAAATGGAATCCCAAGAAGCCTCTCCAGCTCAGTCACACCCCTCATCCTGGGAGACTCCGGGAGAGCAGATGTGTGGTTTGTGATATGCCCTGAGTGTTATCAAATCAAGGTCCTATTGAGCTATGAAGTGAAATGACTTACAGAGCTCAGAAGGAACTCCTTATGGAAAATGCCTTGCCAGCAACCCTCTTTTTTTTTAAATCAAAGGACTGTCAGCTCTCATGCATCTGCTGATTGCAGCTGTCATGGTGTCATCTGGAAAGAAAGGTGAACCCTTGTGACTCAACACACAAACTTCAAATGTTAGCACAGCACACATTGCCAATTACAGAAACATCAGGCTGGCGCACTGTTGGTGGGGAAAATAAGAATTCAAGGTTCGTTGTACATTCAAAGTCATCTGCCTTAAAATCAACAAGGTGCAGAAAGAGGATAAGAATCTCTTTTCTAGAAGCTGAATTATCAACTGCATCTTATGTATCAAAAACTGTAACAAGGCCTGAATGTTACAGTTTTCTGTATGTTTTCTGTAGTTTTCTTAATGTTTTCTCAAATGTCAAAAGCCCTGTCAAGATGTCTAGATCTCCAGTTTTACACTGATAATTGTTGTATCTTGTCCATACATCAGTCTACAGCATATTAACACAATTTGGTAAATCAAAGTCAAAATTAACACTATACTGACAGCACAGGGACTTTAAAAATTTTACACTGGGTTGTACTAAAATTCAGAGGGATCATTTATGTGATTACTAGTCGCTCAGATATTCCTCCACATTACTCTATCTAATGTATCACATTAGATGCACAACTTGCACATGTTCAGTGGTAATAAAGGCAACTAACAGTCCTGAAAAGCTGAATCAACATTTTATCCTAAACAGTTACTGCAGGAAGGCTGAGCTAAAACTCTAGGCAAGCTGTCAGTAGCTAATATTAGCCTACAGGTAGAGAATTACTTTTTTTCCTTTATTATTTCAAAGCAATTTTCAAAGACTGCAGAAAATATTCTCTAGGCCACAGAGAAAATCCAACAGATCATTTTTGTGCTGATGCAGCTGCAAGTGCTGTTTGCTAGATCATATCTCAGCTTGGTCATTGCAATATCAAAGTATGATTTTATAAACCCGGTAAACCATTTAACTCTTGTGTAAAACACATTATACATGCTAATGGCTTCATTTGGCTAAGCTGGCTTCGTCATTTTTCTGCAGCTGGACGTAAGCACTATATACTGATATACCCTCATAGGTTAAGCAACTCCTTAATGGAATATATTGCCTTGGAGTCTTTAGTCTTTATGAAAAAAGTCCCTATCACTGCCCAGAGAACTATTTTGTGTGCAGTAATTATGTAATATTAATGAGCAATATTATGTACAACTGTATTTTCCAGCCCATTCTTTGTATGGAATGTACTTTAGAATGACCTGACACTGCAAAAATGCCTCTAGCTTCCATGGCCCATGTAAAATACAATAAATACATAAATAATTTAGAGGAGGAAATAGGTAGTGTTGCAAAGGTGCTGGTATTCTTACCACTGTACTTCAAAATCTGGCGATGTGGCCTTTGGAAATGTGTTTTTCTTTTTCATTTTAGGATTCTGCTTCTTCAAGCTGGAAAAAAAAAATTCCACACAGGTATGGAGCTTTAAAATGCAAATTTGGAAACTAACTTTGTAATTTTATTTCTGAAATTGTAGAAGGAAAAAAGCACACAAGAGGTATTTGCCCACTTCAGGCTTTTGCAGAGACCCTTGCTTATCTATGCTTAGGTGGGATTTCTGAAGCTGAGGGTTCCTAAATTGTGATCACCACGACATAACAGCATTGCATCCATGGGAAAGCAGGAAGGAGATACCTCTGTATGCTGGTCTGTATGCCCAAAACCCCTTTCCAGACAGACTTGTCTTCCATGAAGGCAGTTAGCCTGCAAGCAGGGCCTTGGGCACAGCCAGGGCGCCTTTTGCCAAGTATTTGGGAAGCTGATCCTGAGTGCAGTGGGTGAGCCAGCGCTAAACGTGCTGGGACAGCCTGTCCTCAGGCACCCACCAGTTGTCCAAGAGGCATCTGAAAGGCAGTGGTCATCCAGTGTGTTCATGCTTTGGAGATTTAGCTTCTCAATCTCTTGGGTTTGGGGAGTTTTTTTCCCACTTCTAAATTAAAGTAACTGGTTATTTAATTCCTGTTCATGAAGGGGGAGTGCATCAGGACTGTTGCAAGGGCCAGTTAGGGCTTACAAAGTACACTAGCGCTGAGTATAATTTTTACTACAACTCAGTGACACCTTCATTTCTCAAAGTAAGATTTCATAGCCTATTCATTTACAAAGTGGGCTAGTGCCTTTGGGTATTTGGGAAGGGCAAAAAGACAAATTGAAAAGCACCAAATCATTTAATTTCAAAGTGCATTAAGCACACACCTTCCAATTTTCTGACTAAAATGTTCATCAGCTTTTTCCAAAGAGGTTTGTATCCAGGGCACAGAAACAGTTTGTGGATTTTAGATTCCTGAAATACTTAACAATGCTATTCAGGGGAAAAAATACTTTCTTCTTGTCCTAAATAAAACAGATTCACATGCAAAGTATTAATGAATCCAGCTGACAGCTTAAGGATAGAAGTAGCATGAACCCCCCTAAATATGACCTAATCAAAGATTTTCCAGAACAGAATTTCTGGAAAGTGTTGGGATATAATAAAAAAGCAAAGAGAACAATATTAAAAGTCTAATTCAGAGTGGCCAAAATGAGATTGTGGGGTTTTCTTCCACCCAGGGGTCACAGCCCCCCTTACTGGAGCATTTCAGGTCCTGATCTGTGGGGCTGGGTACCAGTGTGCAGTGGTCAGCCTCCAGCACAGTGCCTGGGCTGCTTGGCTCCTTTTGGAGCTTTGCTTGTTGGAATCTGTAGTCTCCAGGCTGCATCTCCATTATTAACAAGGAGAGCAGTGGTAATCTGCTCCATTATAGGCAAATCAAGTGCAGCTCTTTGGCTCCTGGCATGTTCCCAACACGGCTCTGAGAGGAGCATAATTCCACAAAATCCATAAAATTCAGAGCACAAGACTGCTGCTGTTCCCCCTTCCCCATGCCTTGCAGGTAATGTAAAGTCCTCTGTTGGGATACTTCACAGAGGAGGGACATATTCTGCATATACCTAATGAATATTGGTTTTCTATTGCTAAGGGGATGAGTTAAGAAGAGTTTCAGTTTTACCTTTGAGTTCCCTACCTTATGGGTTTCATGTCATATTTCCACTGGCAAGGGGCTAGAGGGGTGACTGTTGCATATTCAGTGTTCCCCTCCTTTTGCCTTGCAGGGGAAAGAGGGTGTGTTTCCAGCAACAGAGTAGAATGAACTCATGCTTTCCAATTTTTCCCCATGTTAGGAAGTAGGTCCTGTCTCATTACTGGTGACAGCACATATTGGTAGGTCATAGAGCAAAGGGAGAGCCTTGCGTAGAACAGCTGGGGCCCAGAGCCAGAAATCTCATTAAAGTAAGCTGCTGCTATTTCCAGCCTGTAATAGAGCTTTGGAGCTTGATTATATTCAGTGAAAGCAGGTCATTACAAACACAGTGCTTTTTGCATATTATCTAAATTGAAATAATAATATGTTCTCTCCTTTCATGTGCTATATTGATAAATCCCAACTTATGAATGAAACATGTTGATTAGTTAGTTAAAAATAATTAGTTTCATATTATGCTCCTAAGTTTAAGGCTTGATTAGTGCAAACAAATAACTTTTGATAATAAGTCATTTACAGATTATTCTCTTAAATGGAGCACACAGGCATAAAAATAATCTGCAGCAATAAATTGTGTTATTTGTTCTCTCTTTTCTCTTTGACTTGAAATGTAAGAGTACTTTTAGAACTTGAGAGGCAGAATGTCTATGTGCAGATTCTGATCTCAACAGCAATGGCTGCAGTGCAACTCTGGCGTTACTTGATTGAGGTGACAATGTACCAGATAAGAGTATGGTGTTCTTTGATTCAGTCTTTCTGGTCATCTAGCTCCAAAAGAACAATTGCTGTTTACAGTGACTGAGAACATTGCTGTGTTTAGTTTTTCCTTATTTAGCTTGCATTTAAATGTTCTGATATTTACATCAGAACTGAGCTAATGAGTTGTTTTCTGTATTAGTGGTAGCTCTAAGTAACATTTTCAGTTCTTTTGAAAGAAAACAAAGCCCTGCATGAACATTATTTTTCTACTTCTTCGTTCACTGAAGTCAGCACAATTCAACAATGTCCACAAAGCATAAGCACAGTCCTGAATATGAACATTTTCCTGAACCGGAGCTTAGAGCAGTCATAAGGACAAAGTCTTTTTCTTAGCTCCCCTAGGATTCTTCTCACACTGGTAAAAGATGGGCCTGTGACTGTGTACAGGAGGCAGTCACTAAAGAAAGACTGTACATTGATAGGATTATGGTATATAATAAAATTAGATAACACTGTGGTAAAAAGCCTCAGCTCCGTTGATACTGCTGTCTCTGCTGTTGCTCCCACCTACACAGCCTCTCTGGTGGAAAGTTATGGCTTTCAATTATCACTCTGAAAATCCAGCCCTATTTTGGGAGTGCTTATAACTTGTAGTAGTCATCCACGTTGTGGGAGTCTGACGGGGTTGTTAGAGAACATCAGCCTTCGTATTTAGGCGCTGGAGCGTGACAATTCTAGATGAAGCAAATAATACACTTTTGTAAAGCATTTCTATAAAACACTTTCCTTCCTGGTTGACAGGAAAACTTGTGAAGCCTGGAAAGAGAACCAGACCCATGCTCCATTCTCCCACTTTCCAGATTTCCAGCAAGTGATTTAATTCAATAGCAGCAGTTGTGGTATGGACACTTGTCCAGTGGTGGCTGAGACCACCAGATTACTGACAATACATAATCACAAAATAGCCAGGAGCTAGAAATGGCTAAATCTTTATTGTTGTGTGGAAGACCTGAAGTGACTTACTGGTTAAAAACTCTTCAGTCCTTCCCAATCCTCTCTGAGGGCACTTACTGAGGAATGGTAATGGTTTACAGTCTCAGAGTGCTTTTAAAGCACTCAGTGTCAGAAAAAATGGCATTAACCCACTCTCCTCTCCTGATTCTGGACCTGATTCTCAATGCTAATCAAGAGTAATTTCAGTGAAGGGAAGGGAGTTATACAAGACCTGTGTAAAAGTGGAATCAGATCCATGTATCGTACATTTAAGATTCCTGGCAAAATACACTCTATTTACTTGAGGAAATTAAAACATTTCAAAGAGTGGATGATTTAAGGGCTATGTTCTTACTTCCTAGAAATTAGAACAGTACATCAGGTAATCAATAAGTGTATAAAACTGTCTAAAATGCAAGCATTGCAGAGGTCAGGAATGGAAAAAAGCACAGCTGAAATCACTTTACATGATATACTGGAAAAACAACATTATTTTTACCAGCAGCAGTGAGAAGCCATTGCAGAAGGCAAGAAGCTGATTTAATGGTATGGCAAACAACATTTGTTCCATAAAGCCAATTTTGCCACTTACGTGACAAATAAAACTAAACACAAAATTAGGCTGTTCAGCTAAGCACTTTAGCTCCAGCCTCCCTTGAACTTCGAGAAATTCAGGGGAACAAGAGCTTGGGTTGGGCCTATCTGTATCAGAAACACAGCACTGCATTTATACCGTGTTATCAGTATTTTTTTCACTTCAAATCACAAGCAGCAGGCAGTGTGGTGTGTATATCTCTATAATAGAAATGTCTCAGTTACATGCAAAACCTCTCCAGTGCCTTCCACAAGAAGAGGCTCCATTAAGACTAATGAAAATGCTGATTCTGCACAACAGATGCCACAGATCCTCCAGGAGAGCTGTAGGAAAGAAATGGACTCTTAAACAGGTAGGGAGTCACTCAGCTTCTACCCTCAAATCTGAAAGAGCTGCTTGATGAGGCTTGATGAGACTTAGATGGAAGCAAGAAATTCAAGAAGGAAATATCCAGGGCTGTGATAGCATAAGGAAGCTGCACATAGTTTTCTGACTTGTAATAACTCCTGGGCTACTGCAGGAGTATAAAGAGGCTGCTAGAAAGAGGAACAAACACTCCTCTATGCTGCTCCCTCCCCCTGCATTACAATAAGCCAAGGCTTGTGATGTTTCGCCAAAGAATGGGGAAACCTAGGAGTGATTTTGGACAATACATGCTGGTGATCATGAGTCACTGGCTAATGTTAAAGACAGACCTACAGTCAGATGTGGTGTGTATAACAGTGACATTGTTTGCCATCAGTGGAGTTGCCATTTGCTTTATGCCTGATCTGAATTTTGCGTATGCTCCTAATGGCATTAAAAGGCATTTTTGTTAATGTACAGTGAGGGGAATAAACCCCTGCGGTGTCAGCCTCAGTTTTGAATGGGTTGGCTTTTTTGGCTTGTCACATCTTTCTAGTGTCTAAACCTCTGCCTTTGTATTGTAATGTGGCGTGCCGTAAATATCTTTAATGGAACAGATTACATCAGCTAACCTAGTGTTGCCAATCTCAATATTAAAATCTGCAGCAGTAAGGAGCCCTGCCCAAAGGACTATGACAAGTATTCAGCTCCATTTATATTAGAATATAAAGTACAGAATGAACCCACATAATTTCTGGCAACTGATACTACCTGTCAGATAAGAATGGCACAGGGGAAAACAATCACAGAGCATCGAAGTTTCTTCGCAGAATTAAGAGCTGTGGAGTACTTGATACATTCCTTTCCTGAACTTGCTGTAGGTTCATAACTTTTTAGTAGTAACTCCCCATCCCCAACAGCCAAGCAAAAGCAAAAAGTAGTTTCCTATTTCTACACACACTGACTCTGTTAAGTTCATGCTGGCTGCAACAAGGGAGAGAGAGATCTGGTAGGATTTAAACATGTTTTCACCTTGTTTCAGATACACAAAAGACACTGTCTAAAATGCTTAAGAATATTCAACATTATCTTGTGGTTTCTATATGCTCAGTCAGCTGCACATTGACTGTACTGTTCTCATGGCAATTCCAAGTTCACTTCAGGTTGTTTAGGGCCAAAGAAAATCCCATTCCTATGGGATACGTTAACATTACATTGCAGTGAGCTTGACCAGAACTATTGTCCCCATGTTAGACTTCATCAGAACTTCCTGTTTTTCAGCCCTCACCATGAATATTCTTGGAAGAGACTGATCAAGGATTTATGTATCAAGTGTGAAATAATTAGACTTAGTGGGACACAAGTTCTAAAACGTGGGAGGCATGAGTCAGCATTTCATCTTTCCAATGTTAATGATTTGTTGTTTATTTTTTAGCGATTTGCAAGGGAAAAACTGGACTGACTTCTCTGCATGGGACTTAAGGATTCTATAACTGGAAAGATGAAGAAGTTGGCAAGAACTATCCACCATGCTGTTTTCTGACTGCTGCTAGCCCCCGAGAGATGGTTTCATTCCGTTAGTATTTACTGCCCATAAATTGCAACCAGCATGTTGAGATGCTGTTAGGAAAGGAGCAATAAAAACACAGGAAATATGACTGCTCAAAATCATATTATCTACTGCAGGAATATGGAACCAGATCCTCACGTCCTGTGCCTTTATTTCAGCAAAGGAGCTGGCCTATTACTTCTATTTAAAATTGGTTGCCATGGTGGTATCATCCGGGCTTTCACCCTGATGAAAATTGTTTGCATCTGTGACACAGTAGTGCTGGCAACCCAATGTTTGCATCTACCTCTAACACAGAAGTAATTGTGAGAATGGAACCTGGCTGTTCACCTTTGCACAGTAAACAGGTTCCTTAAGCACACACATAGCTCTTGCTGTTAAACCTGCATGGAAGTGGAAAAGCAGTTGGTTTGACAGCTGCTGAGGCTGCTGCGGAAACCTCAGACAAAATGGAAGTGCTGAAGTGAAACTCCATGAGCAGGCTGACCCTTCCCCAGGGGTGATACTGGTGCATGGGTGTGATTTTGCAGTACCAGTGGAATTTCTGGGAAGTTAAAGGTCTCCCATTTTCAAATAGATGGGAAGCCCTGCCTGACATTCAGATCTGCTGATACAAGAGTCTCTCTCTTCCATTTTCTAATGAGTCTTAATCATTAGCGGCTAGTGATCCTATTAGGTGAATGGCAGCCGCTACCAGGAGACTCAGAAATGTCAATGAACAGTAGAACAGGCTAAAAAAGGGACTTTTCATATGCATTTATTTTAGGTAACAGTTCAACTTCTGGCCCAAACTGGCCATGGGTTCAGGTGTAAGAGTGCCAGAATCTCATGAGGGTCCTTCAGAACTTCATCCTGCTTCCCACTGGATTCTCTAGGGCATGTTCACAGAAAAACCCAAGACAGTCCAGGCCTCAAAGGGACATTTAGGCTTGAAGCTTTCTGTCTAATAAAAAAATTGTTTTGGAATGCTAAACCTCAAACAGGAACACATAGGGTTAACGCTCTTCCCTGCATAAGCTGTCAGCGCTATACTTTGAACAAAACAGCAGCAGCTTTACTAGCTAGAGTAGTGCTTGTTAAATTGAATTAAATCTGGAGCACTAGTATCAGTCCCTTCTCTTTACCTTTATTGGGAAATCCTGCTTTCCAGCATATGTGATAAGTGGGGGAGGAGGAACTCAAGAGCAGCTCTGAACAATGAACAAGGACCAAATGTTATCAGCAGGAAAGAAATTCTGCTAGTGCCAACTCCATAATGGCAGTTAGCATTTTGCAGAGCAGAATCGACCTGGGGCGCCGGCTCTATATTCCTCTCTAGTTTGCAAATAAAAAGCTGGGCAGTCGCCTGTCTGTCTTTCCAGCACACATACTGTATTTCAGCCTGCAATGCCGATTCTGCTGAGCTGTAAGTGAAAGATCTGCTGAGTAAGAAATTATTAAAGGCAAGCAAGAGCCTCATTGTTTTCTGGTGATGTCAGCGTGGCCCTTATCAATAATTGAACAGCTTTTCCAGGAACACAATCTAGAGAGACCAGAGCCTGTGTTACCACGTTGCCACTTCACTCATGTTCCAGGAAAGGTTGCTCTCCACAGAGGCAATATTGTGCCATTTCTTTATTCTGCAGGCTCACGATGCTGGGAGCTGAGGCAGTGCTCCATCTGATACACCACTTCCCACCCACATGCTGTCACACTTAAAAGCATCACAGGCTTGAAATAGGGACCATTTTAAAAGGGACCAGCCTGTCTGCTGCAGGCTGGAGCCCACTGGGGTGTTCGGAGGGAGAGCTGTGGGTCTTTCAGAGTCCACGAGCCTTCACTGCTGGCTTTTCCTTTGGCTGCAGGTCAGAGCTTCACCCTTCTGCTATCACAAGGACTTGGCATAGGGCACACTGGTCACATCAGAGCACCTGGATACCAGAGCCAGGAGCTTTATATAAAAACTGAGAAGTGGATTCCTGAAAGCTCCCTGTTAAAAAAATGGCACCCAGAGAGTGGGAGAAGCCAGGTGATTTTGCATTTGTATCACACCTGCAGCAGAACTCTTTCTCTTAAGCCCTTCAAATCAATACCCCCCTCTAAGAAGGGGCAAACTTGTAATAAATGCAGGCACACACACACACACACACCCCCCCATATATGAGGGAGATTACTCCCATGTCCTCCCTCATATTTCCCTCCAAATGAGGCAGGAAAGTCAGAGGTTAGGCCTTTTATGCAGGTGTGTTCTGAATAATACAAGCCTATAACTGTGCTCTCCTGACAACAGATTTTATGGGACAGAATTTCATCCCTTACCACAGACCCTATGGGTTACTCTGATGTCAAAAAGGGGCTACAGACTGTGCCCTTCAAGGCTCTGCTACCCAGGCACACTGTGGGTAAGGCCCTGGCCCCTTCAAGCTCAGCCTTATCATTACACTGTGATCAGGAGAGGCAAGAAAGATTTCTGCAGTAAATATTGGAGTGGGCAGTCTGAGCTGCTTCAAATTAGAGCAGCTCATAAGGAGCTACTAAATATAAAATCATCCTCAGTGCAGCTCCAGTTTAAGCCAGGGCATGCCAGCCCTCAGAGAGGCACAGAATCTCCTGGATGTAAATAAGTCAGGATGAGGAGGAGAATTTGAAGTTTATAATTGAAATCCTGAAAAACAAATAGAAAGGATGCCATGTAAAGGGGGGAGAGCAAAGAAACCCCATCAGCAATGTGAAATGTCCAGTATCTGTAGTCCTACAGTTTGGAATTTCAAGTGTCCTCTGCCACAGCCTTCTGCATTGCTCCGTTTAACTAGTCTCCTATCCTGCATACCTCCATATCCTCTCTACCTTGGAGGATCTCTCAGCTCATTCTAACCCTTCTCTCCCCTCTGGTTTCTTCTGACCATTTCTTCCCCTGTGTTTGTACAGTACCCCACAGCATATTGGTGGCCTAAAAGCCATTAGTAATAACAATAAATACAGTAATTAAATCTTTCAGTAACAGAACTGAATCTTCCATTGCTGCAGTCTGAACTCCACCTACTAAAAAGGCAGATGATGTTCTCTGTGGTTTTCCTGTGTTCCCCAGTTTTGTGGATGGTAGATCTAGACCCAGTTCTACATTTTACGTGGGTGTAACTTGGTTTAATGGGAGTAAAAGTGAGCAAGAGAAGCAGATCTCCAAAACCCCTAAAACAGACAGGGTGGTGGTGGCAGGGTCAGGTTCCTGCTGGATATGATTGAACTAGTTCAGTGATCCAAAACTAGATCTGAACTTTACTGCTCTGGCCTATATCTGACAGAGATAAAAGATTCTATCTATATCCTTCAGGCCACACAAGCCCATTTCTAAAGCCATATTGTGTTTCCAGGTTATATTACAGGCAGCTGACTCTGCTGACTTCTTGCGTCTGAATCATTCCTCCACTTTAATCCATGTTTTCAACTCCAGAATATACCTAATTCAACAACATCTGGAAATCAATTATCAGTAACTGCTGAAGTTTAATGAGGTGACAGCAGGACACACCAACTAGTATTTAATCATACGAGCCAGACCATGCCGACAGGTTTACAAATACCTTGCTAAGCTTCAGTGTCAACACAGTTTTATATAGTGGAGGCAGGTCTTCTCTTGCACTGTACTTGCACCATCCTCAGAGTTGGTGTCATGATACTTTCTGTATGTATACTGTATACTGTATACTATATATATACAGTATATGTATATGTATATATACTATATATATACAGTATATGTATACTGTATACTATAAGCATGGCTCTGAGATGGTTTTCAAGTCCTCACCATACCCACTCCAACTCTACTGCATGTAATTAATCTGCATTCTGAAAATAATCTTTTAATCATAGCATTAAAGGCATAATTTAAAAAGAAAAAACAAAAAGGGAGAAAGATAAAGAAAAACGAAAACAGATTCTACAGTACAAGACAAAATTAGTAAGGAAAGGTAGCTACGTACCAATCTACTATAAGACAGCCCAATTTAACCTGTGGTTTTGTGATCTCCCGCTATATCAGTTTAGACCTATGAGGGAAAGTACATACATCTTCTAAATGGCTGTTTATCACTGAAGCAGGTGCTTTGCAGTCTTTTATCCCTGGCACCGTTTGAAAAATGAACAGGGAAATGGAGCAGGACACATCTGACAAGTAGGAGTGGAGGCAGACGAGGTGGGCACCTAAACAAGAGCTGGGAATCTAATTTGTCTTGGTATCAACAGTCTTCAAGCATCTAAACATCTTTAGTACCTTGACCCAATTGACTTGGACACAGTTCACCCAATAAATCTGTAGCAAAGCAATTCAGGTGTCCCCAGGTCATCTGCTAGCACCTGAAATAATAAGCTATCTTTCTGCTGTGATGGTTTAGGCATCATAATAAATGGGTCTTCAGGATAGTAAAAGTGGTACTTTTACTGGCTTGATTTGAACTGTCAAGCAAGTAAAAACCCACCAGCTTATTTCCACTTGTGCAGCCTTGACTTAATTCTGGCAGCTTTCCTGAGGTGTATGTGACTTTTCCCAGAGTCAGTTACTACTGTAGGCTGCAGGCTGAAATTCGTCCAAGGTTCTATAGATCTTCAAGCCAAACTCTGCTCTCTGTACAAAATGTGTCGCAACAGTCAACTCCTGCTGAGCACCAGAAACTGGTCCAGGAATTACAGCACTGAGTGTTCAGGCTGGTGACAGATTGCTTTACCTATGCGTAAAACAAGAACATGAACCTGCAGAGATAATTAAGCAGTTGTTGCTAGGAGGCTTCAGAGCTGCTTTCTGAAGTTCTCCTAAAATGACAAGTGCTTTGTTTGGATTTGTAAGAACCTTTGAAAGCTAAGTACAGCTGGATCAAAATCACCATAAAAGGGAATTGGATTTGGTGACCCTCTGTTTCCTGAGACTGATATTTTCTGGGCACAAACCAGCTGTTTGAATCTGTTTCTGAAAGATTCAAGAATGAAAACCTGGGGGGTTTGATACTGTTCATTTGTACTAAGACTGGAGCAGAATATCTCAGTCCAGAATGTACATACCACATTTAGCTGTCATAACACTTGTAATAGAGCTAGGTACCATTTAAGTTTTCACAGTCCTTGATCGCCAGCCCAAAACCGTACAATCAGTTTACACTTTCAAATGTCTGTACCACAACTCAGATTGTTTGTCGACATGTTACATTTATTTTAATTTGTTTGAGCCCTTCAGAAAGCTTCTTTCTATTCTTCTGACTGGACAGTAGAACCTAAGGGCAACTCTTGTTTCACTGACAGACTGAAAATGGGTAAAAATAGTTATAGCCATTTGGTTTACTTGGGACCTTTGTTGAAAATAAGAATAAAACTAAACCCATGTGTTTGCTGCGAAATGGGGGGGTGTACCCAACCAGTTAACATACAGTCTTATTGGAGACAAGGCACTATTTTTTTCCTCAGAACTCAACTGTTTCCTTGTTGAGAGTTTCCACAGATAAGTTATGAATGATACAAGCATGATGGTTAAGGGAGGGAAGAGTGCTGGAGTGACTTCAGAGAAAGACATAAAGTTTAATAAGCACAAGAGACCCACTAACTAGAGAGACACAAGGGAAGAAGGGTGAGAATGGTCATGAAATTATATATCTACACAAGTATTCAAATAATATTACCGAAAAAGCATAGTTACCACATAAAGTCCATGCCCTATTAAGTAAGGGACTTCTTTGCACAAAGTCCTTTAACACTGGGGAGGGATCCACTGGGCAGGGACAACAGCATATTTCCTAGAGTCCTACTGTAGTCTGAGAGCCACTAACTAATTAAAAGTATGGGTTTTGGCCCCATCTCCACAGTAAGTCATCAGGACGAATGGAAAGTGCATTTAAATAAGGCAAAGCAATGATGAATCACCAAATCTTCTCCCTATGAGAGGGATCAGCCCTCCACTGCTTCTGCAGCATCTGGCTGAGGTACCACTGGGAGAAGTCACTGGAGTTAAATAAAATCACAGCTTTTTCCGAGGACCTTCAAGAGTAATTTGCATATTTAATTCATGTTTCAGAAGCGGAAAAATCATTAAGCCAGTTAAAGAAATAATACCAAAAGCAATGGTGCAAGGGGGGGTGGGTGAAGCCTGGTGACTGCAGCTGGATGGGGAAGAGAGGGAGAAACCAGCCTGTGAGCCCTGACTCTTAACACTGCACAAAGCACCACGTATTTAGCATGGCTAAAGCATCTGCCTTTGACAGAGATCCTCTCACTAAGGACAGAAAGAAACGTTCATCAACAGCAACAAAAGACCTTGGAGCATCTCTCCTTAGCCCTTTATTTCCTGAGTGTGTAAGCCATGAATGATGAGTATGCTGAGAGTTAAAGTAAAAATAAAAAATCACTCTCTAGGAAAACATACAAGAAAAGGGCAGCTAAATCTCTGACAGATGAGAACACTCTCAGGGTGTCAGCAACAGTTGTTCTGATTTACACTATCTGGAGGGAGAGATAAGGACTCCACAGTACAGCAGCATCTAATAAATGATGCCTGCCGCACAATAACGAGAAAAACCTCTTCATTTTATTTATTTATTTAGCAGTTAATTTAGTGTTCCTGAAAGCAAGTGCTTTTTTGCTTTGGTCACTGACAATACAGCCAAGTTCTCCCTCACAGCTCTGTCAAAAGACACTTTATAAGTAACTGGATAGGAGGATCTTCACCCCTGACCTGTGGAATCTACCACTTGAAAAGAAAGATGATGAGCACTGATGCCTGGCAGTCCCTGCCCTGCAGATTGCTCACACAAATCTACCTAGTTCAGACCTGGTCTTCAAAGCAATAAGCAA